GAGGCAGCACGATCAGCGGAAGAGATACGACGCCAAAAACAATGGTTGCAGAAATGCAAGCAGAGGATCCACTGGTAAGAGAGATGGTGAACTCTTCAATCACCCGAAGGAAGGCAGCGGGAAACCACCTTCGTACACTCCCTTGTACAACCATGAAATTAAACATGGCCGCCAACGTCAGGCTCTGATACGGCACAGAAAAAAAATGAAACATAAAATATGTTCGCACGAGACGCGCGCGAATGTGTATGTATGCGGGTTGGTTTTTCGTGTATGTATGTGAATGAGCGTGTAATCATTCTGCAAAGGTTATGAAACTTCAGGATTCATCACATACGAGAGTCTTTGGAATACAAAGTATAAACAACCTACACTAACCATACAGCTTTAATGAAGAGCAAGATAGACCTTAGAATTCCATAGGTTAAAATTTCGCTTTCAATATTACGATACCTGTTCAGTTTATTACATATTCTTTATAGATTACAAAATATATGATATGGGTCAATATGATATAAATATAAAGAAAATATAAGGTTTATATATATATGTATATATATATATGTATATATATATATATATGTATATATATATATGTATATATATATATGTATATATATATATGTATATATATATATATATGTATATATATATATATGTATATATATATATGTATATATATATATGTATATATATATATGTATATATATATATGTATATATATATATATATGTATATATATATATGTATATATATATATATGTATATATATATATATGTATATATATATATATGTATATATATATATGTATATATATATATATATATATATGTATATATATATATGTATATATATATATATGTATATATATATATGTATATATATATATGTATATATATATATGTATATATATATATGTATATATATATATGTATATATATATATATGTATATATATATATGTATATATATATATATGTATATATATATATGTATATATATATATGTATATATATATATATGTATATATATATATATATAAGGTTATTAGAAGATGCAAACATATGTGTCTGTGTATGTATTTATATATGTATATGCATGTGTATACATATACACATACATATATATATATGTGTGTGTGTGTGTGGCTGTTTATGTATATATATATATGTGTGTGTGTGTGTGTATGACTGTATAGTGTGTATACATATATATATGTATATATATATTCATATATATGTATGCGTGTGTGTGTGCGTATGTCTGTATAGTATATAGATATATGTATATATATATATGTATATATATATGTATATATATATATGTATGTATGTATGTTTTAAACGTTTCATAGTAAGTTTCTACTTATCTTTGTCTAATCTAAACAACAGTTCATATTTATATTCACTGTCTTTCTTAGTGCATTCCAGTATGGCGAATCGTGGAATGAACAATAAATAATAATCTACACATTCACAAAACACACTCAAACACGTACATGAATTTATTTGTTTATAATGAAAAAGATTGCAAATGATTCTGCTCTTGTTATTAGCAGTATAGTGGATAATCAAACTCCGTAGAGTTAGAGATATTGGTTCGGTAGCGTGTTGCACAACTACAGGTAATGTCCATGTGGGATTGACATATTTTTGGTGATGACTCTCAGGTGATTTAAGAGTGATCCCGTAGTCAATAAAAAAACAATGAAATAGCATCACTAGCTGACTAAAATGGCAACATAACATTATACATCTATTACGCAGAAATCTTTTGAATATAAACAATATACAAGACAACACACCATACACTTACTTGGTAAAACAGAGGCAACCCGCCACAGCACGGGAAGCACCAGTCAGCCAATTAATAATCCAACGGTCTGCCACGACATAAAAACCGGGCTCCTCAAATAGGCATAGCCCGGGCGAGGCTCTGCTTCGCGAATCAAAAAATAAAAAGAAAATAAAAAAAAAATAAAAAAATAAAAAGAAAACACGACATAAAATAAAAACCTCTCTCCCTGACCGACCTGTCTTGACCTTTTATATTGGTGGCTTCCCGCGCGTTTTACCCATAATGCAGTGTATGGTGAGTCTAGAATAAGATAAAAAATACATAAAATAAAAAGAATAATAGATCTATACAAAATTGGACACATAAAAGAAACAAAAGACATGAAAGTAGAAAAAAAAGTGAAAGGGATCCGTGAAGGAAAATGGGGAAATGCGAAGAGAAAAACGAAGCTAAGGTGAATTAGTCAAGGCAAAAAGGCAAGAATAAGACAAGGCAAGCAGACAGAGGGTAAGTAGTGTATGAGTAGTGTTACGTACAGTAGAAAGTAGTGTAGATGTTGATGTAGATCACGGACCAATGGGAAAGGTAAGTCAAAGAATTTAAAACACTAGTTTTATTAAAAGAGCAAAGACAAACACAGGAAAACAGCAAAGCCACGTTATCTTGCAGGGCGGAGGAGTTCGTCGAATTTCTATGCAGTTCCGTGAAGTTAGGGGAACAATATACAAACCTGTCAAACCTCTCCAAGTGATATGAAAAAAGAAAATCATAGTCCTTCCACAAAAAGAAAATACTTTCCTGTAATCGTTCCTCGTTTACTGTTCTGCGCACTGCTTATTTTCCCCCGTTAGGATAAAGGATTTATGGAGTGACTCAGCGTACCCAAGGTCGCCGCCTTCTCGGTTTTCCTGGGCTGAGGGAGTATAAAGCCTCCGCTCCTCCGGCGTGTTGGCAGTTGATTCTCAACGCCTCAACACTCAATATGGTCAGTCAACAATATATTTATATATATTTATATATATAAATATGTATATATATATTTTTTTTACCTCTTATATGTTCTATGGAGTTAAAAAGAAAAAAAAATGAAAAGAGAAAACTGCAAACTAAGTCAAGCTAGATCCCGATATATGACGTCCTTTCCAAAAGTACGAATTTACGTTGATATCTCATGATTTTCATTCAGGTCCGCGCACTGTTCACCGTCATGGTCCTGGCCCTCGTGGTCGCCTTCGCCGCCGCCGGTGGATTCGGTGGACGCTTTGGTGGATTTGGCGGTGGAAAATTCGGTGGATTCAGCGGCGGAGGATTCGGAGGTGGATTTGGAGGTAATATTTATTTTCTTGACTTTGAAATTATTATCAAGTATTTTGTATTGTACCTGGTTATCACATGAACTTGCACATAAACGTAAGTATTTCCGCAGGTGGACACAGAGGCTTCGGCGGAGGTTTCGGAGGATTTGGAGGCGGACACGGAGGGTTCGGAGGTGGATTTGGAGGCGGACACGGAGGGTTCGGAGGTGGATTTGGAGGTACAGTATTGTAGTCCACATACATATATTCGTTTCTGAGTTAAAATGGTTCTCAATGTTACACTCTCTAATTTTTTATTATTATTTCGTAGGATATGGACGGTAAACCACGGGCTCTCACAACACAACAGAAGATCATGTGCTTATATTTCGATAATAAAATTACTGCCAAAGAGACTTGAGTGTTTACTTTTTTCCTACATGAAGTAACAAATATTAAATTTAGCTCAATTTTCCCAAATGTAATTGAAAAGATTGTAAAGCCATTTTATTACAACCGAAAACATTCCTCTAATGGCGACCACTTTAATGCCTAGTGCTCTTTCTTATATGCCAGGGTTCACTTTCTTTAAAATCTTGGGCTGTGAATTCTATAAATTATCTTATATTTAGTCAATTTTCGTCATCTGAAATACTGATACAAGACCGATATAGAAATTAGAACATAATAATTCTGCGAAAAAATAATAAATAAACATCAAATAAGCAAGTTTAATTTTTCAAGTGTGTCAACAAATTGCACTCACACGGACAAAACGGGTAGAAATATACAAGAAAACATTTAGCTAAATTTAAAGCTCTTTGATACACGTCATTAAAACGTTTCAGAAATTACCATATCTGCAAATTTCCCATATGACGGAACGGCTTGATTAAACAATAAATTGATCCAGCGCTGCTTAGACAAAGCACCGCTTCTTACTTTGGGTCCGACGAAGATAACGCTTTCTGGCTCTTGAAATCCCTTGCATTTGGTCTCCTCGGCTGTGGTCACCAGTTCATTACTGGCTTGCAGGTGGCAGCGAAGGACATGGGAGACTATATATGGACATATATATCATATATATCCCAATGCCGCCGGGGAAAATGAACAAAAAATGGGGAAAATGCTGTGCCTATTTTCTATGTTTTCGTGAAATGACTGCCGATAGATGGCTCTACTAGCGCCTGATTTGAAATGGCAGGAGAAACGTATTTTTCACTAGTGCTATGAAAATCGATGGTGTTATTTTTATCATAAACATTATAATTTTTATAATGTTTTTTAACATTAGTAACAGCAAAATAAGATAACGTAAAATATTTTGTAAATCAAAGAAACGGGTAAACGGGCGAGACGGGCGGTACTCGTAACTGGCTCATTGGGGAGTTAGTACAAGTGTTGCCATCTATGTGTAAAAACAATCAAACAAGTACTCACGGTGGGCATAGCACGTACGTACACGTCATACCCGTCGGCATTGGGATATATACAACCACACATATATAAACACAAACACACACACACACACATATATATATATATATGCTTAAATGTGTGTTATATATAATACAAACACATATATATTCATATATATGTGTATATATATGTATATATATATATATATGCATACATATATATATCTATATGTGTCTGTATCTGTGTGTGTATATGAATACACCCACACATACACACACACATATATATGTGTGTGTGTTTACATATATATTCATATATATATGTATATATATTCATATTTTCCCAATTCATATTCATGGCTATAACTAAAGTAGCTTATGATATAAATCATGTTTTATTCATATGAAGCATCATGAAATTTCTTTATTTTCGCCAGCATTGTCGTGGGGTTGATCCCCCCCCCCCCCTCACACCGTTCGAATCTTATTAGATGGTTTACAGCTGATGATAATCACAAAGGCTCGTAGCTATAAACCGTGCATGATTTTATGGATATAGAACTACGAAATAAGATATGATTGTTAGTAATTGAAGATAACAACGAATTTATTCCTTCTGCGAGGATATTAAAGTTTAGTGTTGTAAATGTTGTAGGGAAAAGTATTTAAAGAGTAAAAGATATGCTTTTCATAGCAGTTTTATTATCGAATATTAAAAATGAAAATCGTAGTACGGGTCCTTGATTACCTGCCATATCCTGAAAAGTAAAGTAACAATTCATTAGGAAGTTCGAAGATTAATGTCAGCTGTCAAACATTAATAGGGCATCGTCTTTCGAGTTTGCAGTCCAGTTGATTAGATTCGAGCAATAGCGATTCATTTTGTATTTTTAACAAAAAGTCGTGGTTAGCCAAACCACTTCCTAATGCTTTTTATACATACATATTTTCTCTTTTACTTGTGACTTCATGCAGCCTAATATATCTGGGAAAATTTTCTATGGCTTGCATTCCTACACATTTCCGGGTCCTGATAAAGTACATTATCTTACCTCCAAATCCGCCTCCGAATCCTCCAAATCCGCCTCCGAATCCTCCGTGTCCGCCTCTGAATCCTCCGAAACCTCCGCCGAAGCCTCTGTGTCCACCTGTGGAAATGCCAGCTTTTGTGAGAATGCTCCGCTATCAGATGCCCTTCGTATATTTCCGTTAACGGGAACAAAATCTTGCGATCAAAGAATATGTGCCCATTAGAATGCATTTTAGTTATTACAATTACTATCACCATTATTTTAGGTCCAAATAGATATCCCATACTACCTCCAAATCCACCGAATCCTCCGCCACTGAATCCACCGAATTTTCCACCGCCAAATCCACCAAAGCGTCCACCAAATCCACCTCCGCCGAATCCACCGGCGGCGGCGAAGGCGACCACGAGGGCCAGGACCATGACGGTGAACAGTGCGCGAACCTGAGTGAAAATCATAAGATTGCCAAAGGTTAACAAATCAAACAATGGAGATGTTATTCATATGATTTCTAGATCCTGCTTGTAAACTTGATTCAGCGTGTACATTGATGTTTTTCACACAAATGAAGTGAGGTAAAGAGATGAGAAAAAAGATCTGAAGACAAACCATATTGAGCGTTGAAACGTTGAGAGGCAACTGCCAACACGCCGGAGGAGCGGAGGCTTTATACTCCCTCAGCCCAGGAAAACTGAGAAGGCGGCGACCTTGGTTTCCGGCGAGTCACTCCACGAATCCCTTATCCTAACAGGGGAAAATAAGGACAATGCAAAGTATAAGTATGATTACTAAATAGTAAAATGAGATCTATGAGTTGTGTATATATATATATATATATATATATACATGCACACAGTCATATATTTCCATTTATATGTATATATATGCATATATATATACATATATAAATTTATATATATGTACACACACACACACACGTATATATATATATATATATATATATATATATATATATATATATATATATATATATACATGTATAGATACGAGCATGATTACTAAATAGTAAATTGAGATTCTCTCTGATCTGAGCTGATATGTGCATATATATAAATATGAACACAAACACACACACACACACCTATATATACATATGTGTATACATATATATATACAGATGTGTATACATATATATACATGTGTATACATATACAAATATATGCGCGCGTGCGCGTGTGTGTAACTATGTGTCCGTATGTATGTGTGTAGGTATAGATTTCAATATATACACATGCCGCGCACATATACACACAGCCGTATCGCCAGGCCCCAATAACGGCCCCTCTCTGGCTTACAATTTTCAAATCTAAGTTATAAAACAGGATTTAAAAATTGTTGCCGTCATTTAACATCCAACAGTAAAATCATATTTAGAAAACGAAGATATAAATAAACTCAAATGATGAATCTGCGTGGAGGTCTTCCCTGTGAAGCTAGTGTGGAATAGATGGCTGCTGGACGCTTAGGACCTATTTTACTTTGCCAGGAATAATATTAAAGAAAGAAAGCGAGTCATAAAAAGCTAAAAATACATCCAACCAGGTTCGTCCGCATCTTCATATCATTAAACAGAACACTACACTCCGTCTAATTTCTAAAAAGGAAAAGCTGACAACTCACCCTGGACTGTGAAGTAATCCGATTCGTCAAGCATCTTTGAAAAACAATGAAGTGGTATAAGAGTATAGTACATGAACAGTAAATATACCAAACCGAATGCGCAATCGGAGTCCTCCAGGGGTGAGTTGCCAGTTTGATCCTTCCTGAAACTGGATCCAATACAGCAGCTCATGTTGCGCTCCCATTGCAAAAGCGAAACATTTCTTTAGTTTATTCCTTCGAGTATCAGTAACCTCCATAGTTCATTCGACTGTTATTACAATACGTAGCTGATTAGGAAACAACATGCGTTCATTGACTCATGAGTTTGCGGAAACTGGACTGAATATAAAACAAGAAATCGTAATGAAGCAATATGAGTGTCTAAGAAATAACAGATTAACAGATGGGCAAGTTATAAAAGTGACTGAAAATCTTACCATGTACGTTCGACTATAGCGCGAATGAGTAGGAATGCGTATTTGTAGTTAAACAATGTTGCGTTATTATTTCGGATTACGAAAGCTTTATGATTCACCACATACTAGAGCCTTTGGAAGACAATGCACAGGCAACCTGCACTAATCATACATCTTTAATGAGAAACGAGGTAGATTCCAAGGGCGTGATTTTCTCATCCAATATTGCGATGCCTAGTCAGTTTCATACTGATTTAGTGCAGATTACGAAGTGTATAATACATATCATACATACATATATATATGTGTGTGTGTGTGTGTGTGTGTGTACATGTATACATACATATATATATATATATATATATATATATATATATATATATATATATATATATATGTATATATATTATATATATATACATATATATATATATATATATATATATATATATATATATATATATATATATATGTATATATATATATATATATATATATATATATATATATATATATTTATATATATATATATATATATATATATACATATATATATATATATATATATATTTATATATATATATATATATATACACATATGTCCGTGTATATGTGTGTATATATATGCATATGCATATATATACATATATATAAATATGTGTGTGTGTGTGAGTGCACACATATACATATATACATACATATATATATACATACATATATATATATATATATATATATATATATATATATATATATATATATATACATATATATACATATATATATATATATATATATACATATATATATATATATATATATATATATATATATATATATATATATGTATGTATGCACACACACACACACACACACACACACACAGATATATATATATATATATATATATATATATATATATATATATATATATACATATATATATACTATATATATATGTGTGTATATATATATGCATATTATATATATATATATATATATATATATATATATATATATATATGTAAATATGGGTTCTCCGTTGGGAATAGCTGCCTCATACACATATATATGGTATTTTTTCTTAGCTGTTGAAAATTTCCCCATACAGTTTTCAGATAGGATACATGTTAATAAACCTCAAATGACTGATATCAGATTTACGATTCAAATTTTCTCCTTCTTAGAAACACATGGGTTATCAGGTTCATATATATATATATATATATATATATATATATATATATATATATATATGTGTGTGTGTGTGTGTGTGTGTGTGTGTGTGTGTGTGTATATGGGGGCTATGCGTGTATGTGTGTGTGTGTGTGTGTGTGTGTGTGTGAGTATCTGAGTATGTGTGTGTGTGTGAAAACAGACATACATCATGTCTGAATGTGGACAGAATAAGTTTATCCTCGAACAACTCTGCAGCACTTCAACTTTCTTCCGGTGCGTTTTACTCTGTAGCGTTACAAAGAATCCGCTCTGTCATACAACCGTTGCTGTGACATCTGGCACTCAACCTTTTCCCGGAGACTGGTCCTCGTGATTCACGCCAGCCGAGGCCGCAGAATCGCTCCCTGATTTCCCCTTCGCTAACTACGCGGCTCGAGGAACGAGAAAGCTGAATCGACTCTCGCCCGACAGCGCTCGTCAGGGTAAATGTCCCTAGAGCACGCCATTCACTCCTTTCAATAGAAATCTAATAGGCCAACGGATACGCTGTAAGATTTGGATCAATCTATATCAAACTTCATTCTATAGTCACTGTCAGAAAATTTGGGCAAAGAACCTAACGGCCGATGATTGACTGATATGATCCTGTCCGAGGTCAATGTATACAGTATCTGTGTATGTTGACCTTCTTCTGTTGAGCGTCGTAGTGTTGATAATCAAAACATATCAACATGCGGCTTTCTTCGGAAAATAAAATGCAGGATCTGTATTGTGATATGAAGTAGCATCCTGTCATAAATTCTCTTGCTTTTGCAACGTATTCTAAGGATCTTTATCAGGGCAAAGAGGCTTCGTCAGAGGCTGCGGAAGTAGCCACGGAGGCGTTGGTTTGGCAGAGTCTTAGAGGTGACTTTTTTACTTCCCATCAGATTATAATGGCATCGTTATCCCGTGCTTTATATTCATCAAGCTATATTTCCTACTATTCGTTATTGGCGTATGTTCGTTAGCTATTTCAGGCTAATAATAGTCGTAAATCATGACATCTTAGTAATTCTAGCTCTCGATTACTTTTATTATTCGTTTAATTGTTTCTTAGTTTAAATTCCGGCAGTACATAAACGGCTGTGCCTCAGTACAGAAAAAAAAAATCTCCCTTCATCTATCTATTGGGATCAGGTGATATAGGCAAGTTAAGCGAAGATCATACTAGTCTATTCTATTCTTGGATCCCGAGACAGGATCGCCAAAGTCTGGTCAGCTACAGAGAGGGATTGGTCATACTACAGTCAGTGTTCCTTCAGAGAGAACCACCGTCCCAGTTCAGGGTTCATAACAGTAAACAATGGCGCTTTCCATCGAGGATGCTTTTACGGGCTACTTCATGACGGAGTTCATTGCTTAATTCATTTATTAATGTTCTTTTCAAATTTCCGCTTTTATAATCCTTATGATTAGTGTCGCACGACGGCCAATCCAAGGCATTATTGTTCGATGCAATATATCACCTATACGTTTACAGTTAGGGAAGCATCCAGTTCCGTAAAGGGAACCCTGGACAGAATACATTAATGTGACCGACTCTTTAGACACTTAGACACATTCAGGAGAAAAAAAAACACTTTTCACGAGAAATAGTTCAGGAGCAAAGTCCTCGCGATGGCGTGGATTCAGAATAAAATTCGGCCTATAAATCAATATTTCCAAAACCGTAGGTGGCACTTTCCGGGAAGCACCGATTTTATTATCTCTCACTCACAATCTGTCTCTTTGTCTATCTATTTCTCTCTCTTTCTCTATCTATCTATCTATCTATATATATATATATATATATATATATATATATATATATATATATACATATATATGTACATAAACACATTTGCACACACACACACACACACACACACACACACACACACACACACACACACACACACACACACACACACACACACACATACACACACACACACATACACACACACTCACATATATACATATATATATATATATATATATATATATATATATATGTATATATATATATATATATATATATATATATATATATATATATATATATGCACGTATGTATGTGTGTATGTATATTATATATATATATATATATATATATATATATATATATATATATATATATATATATATATATGTACATATATAAATATATATATATATATATATATATATATATATATA